TGAATGTACATATAGAATTATGTGCCCTTTGACTGCCTGAGCCCAAGAGATAAGCAGTTAGAAAAGTTCTCAGAAATTAGTTTAGTGTATTCATGATCAAATGCTGTTTTGATTATAAATAAGCAGTAATGAAGAAGTCGGAGTGGAAAGAAAAAAAATTTTAAAGGAAATTAAAACAACAAACACTTCTTTGAAATTTTAGGTGCCATGATGTTATCTTCTCTCATGACCAAAGGAGAGCAATATAGTGTAATGGTGGAATGTACAGGTTTGAAGCAGAAATATCCAGATTTTTGCACTCCCTCCCGATCCCGGCCAGTTTGACCTATGTAACTCCAGACAAGTTCCTTCATAAGGAGTAGTAAATAATGTTAGATCTCACTTAAGGATTAACGTTTTCAGAAGGGTATTATATGTAATTCTAAGACATAGTTGTATACTACATATGACAATCAATGTGTTGGTTCTCCTTTAAAAAAATGATTAGCCCTCAGATCTTCATTACTGCTCATTTATAATCAAAATCAACAGAAAAAAATGTATATTGACTTCCTTGTTCCATTAAAAATTACATAATTATAGATTAATCCATAATTATAGATCTTCCTTATCTTTATATCTTTTATTTAGGATTAACAAATTGGTGTGAGGGAAGTAATATATTTTAACTAAAAATATTTTCAGGGCCAGACACTTGCCTGGCACATAAATGATCTGAACCCTGTCACTACATTTAGTCCTCTAGACACTGCCAGATGTAATCACTGAGCACAAAGTCAGGAGTGGAGTGTTCAGCATAGCTACGTGGGTCAAATAACAAATAAAAAGCTGTAAGTGCTGTATACTGACTCTACTGAGGTTTATTGTTAAATATGAGACAGAGTGAAATGATTGAAAATCAAATAGGAAAATAGAATTGTATTTTCACAATATGTCAAAATGTCATGGCATAAATCAGAGACTCTAGATGTAGCATGACCTGGCATGACAGAAACTTGTGTAGATATTATTTTTTTTTTTTTTTGCTTTTCAGGTCACACCCTGCGGCGCACAGGGGTTACTCCTGGCTTTGCACTCAGGAATTATCCTGGCTGTGCTCAGGGAACCATATGGGGTGCTGGGAATCGAACCCAGGCCAGCAGTGTGTAAGGCAAACGCCCTACCCGCTGTTTAATATCACTCCAGCCCCGATTTTTTGATATTTGTGTATACATAAAAAAGTTCATTGTGACAGAATTAATACATTTTGTCTTTTTGAAAATTAGACATATTTTTTCTGTTAAACACAATTATACTTTATTCATCAAAATAAAAATTTTATAACTCATTTTTTAAATTTTAAAGGTAAAGTCTCAATCATCAAAGAGGGAAATTTTTGAAAAGCACATAAAGGTTTTAAATAAAGAATGATCGTAAGTAAATACCTAAAATTCTTATAAAAAGTCCTGGGCTCGCCTCCTTTTTTAAATTTCCTCTAGTTCCTTTAACAGTTGTACCTGCTTTACAGTTGAGAGAATATATTCAGAGAAGGTAAGCAACTAGCCAGAAGAAAACATTTTCCACATGGCTAACTGGGGTCAGTGTCTTCTTTCCTGCCATCCTACAACCAAGGATTAGGCTTCCCATGAACAATTGCTAGAAATTGTTTTCAAGTGAAAGAATCCATTTTAGGGCATCAAATTTTTGCGTGCTTCAGCTAACTTGCAACATTGCTTTCTGTAAAACTGCTTGGCTGCTTTGCACCTGGGGGAGAGGGGACTTGGAATGTGAACAGGACATAACTTCTTTCTAAACCAAGTGTGACAGGATTCAGGTGTATTTACTGTTCCTGAAATGTATTGTCTCAGTAAAGCACCCTGCAGACTTGGGTAAAGGATAACTCAGGATGCGGATGCCTGGAAACTATTGTCTTAGCAAAGACCCCTGCAGATGTGTTGGGTAAAGGATAACTCAAAATGTGGATGGTTGAGGGAGTTGACCTAAGGCTTAATGATTCCGGCTATAACCTTGCTTGTGCTGACAATCGATGTACGTAAATGCTGATCTTTGAATCTATAGGCTAAGGAGTGAGGTACTTTTAAATGGATTGTATAAGAAAGTATATGTTGTTACAAACCTATTGGCTATGAAATGTGCGGGCCTTGCTGTAACAGCCAGTGAATGCCTATATAAGACCTCCTTTGAAGAAGCTTGGGGCTCTCAGCCACTGTCCACTCTGGGGTATGCTGTGGAGCCCCAGCATGCTGGTCTAAATAAACCTCGTTTGTACTCCTGCAGGAATTGTGTCTGTCTGGTCTCTCTTCGCCTCCCAAGGCCAGGGAACTCCCGATTCCAACACAATTATTCCTAACTAAAGAGTTGTTTTCAAAACCTACAGGAGACTCAATGGACACATGAATATGAGACTTGGTGGACAAATGGATTCATAGTTCTTCTTAATGAATAACGTCTGCTAAAGTTCTTTCAAGGGTTACACAGGTATACATTATTCTCATTTCATTAGAATGAAGTTAAGCCAGGTAATGAAAGTTAATTCCTCATACTGCTAGTAAATGTTACAAGTTAAGATTTGCCCTTAAATTGTCCAACTCCAAAATGGAGACACTTCTAGATTCATCTTGCTGCTTTCGTTCTAAGTCCTGGCCCTTTCCATAAAAAAATCCTAAGTAAAAGACTCTCTAGGTATTGTCCTTTTGAGATCATTATCAAATTGTCTTCTTTTATGGCCTATGAAAGCTTTAGCAGCAGGAACAAAATAAGAAAGGAGAATGAAGGTTAGGGCTAAAGTAAAGGGTATCATTCATCCAGGAAGAAAAATATTGTGAAAAATGACAATAACTCCTTCAAATAAAATTATTTGGTGCACCCTTCTTGGCTTTTATTTGTTTTTAACATATTTAGAGGGCACCTTCTAAGTTCCAGATAATGTTCTTCACATTATGAAGATAAAAGTAGATCGAACAGACCAAACATCCGAGGCTCACATTACAAAGACATAATGGGAATGAAAAATAGATAAGTGTATCATGTTGTGATATGTTTTCAAAGAAAAACATGGGGCAGGGCAGAAATCTGGGGATGATTTTCACTGTAATAACATCTCACTATGATTTTATAGGCTTTACATCATTTGACCATTATCTACTGTGACTCTTAAAAGCAAACTCCATGTTCCATCCTTCTAAAGTTCCTTGTGTTTTCACCTGCAAGGCATCACACACATTATTTCTTTGATGATATTTGAAATTCTTCTCTGGTGCCCTCAGTTTTTTTCTTGAGTCTCCTGAATATGCAGAGCTTTGATCATAGCAATTATCTAACTCTATGATGCTATTTTCCTTTTCAGTGTCTGTTTTTCTGAAAATTGCAACAAACTCATTGATAGCAAGAAAAGTCTTTGACATCATCTTGAATCTGTGTTGCTTAATATTGGGCTTGGCCAAGAATAAACACTCAATAGTGCTCCATAAAGGCTATGAATGCATGCTGTGATGAAATAAGACCTTTTGGTAAACAGTATTATAAAATTTGATTAAAAAAACAGTGAAAAATATAATAGTTAATAATTTAATTGTGAAGACATAGTAAATCATGAACAAAAGTTGGTAGCATTATTTGTTTTAGAGGCTACTCATTATAAATACACCATAAACAAATTCTCATCATGAAATGATTCTATGCTCAGGACCAACAAGTATATTAAAAACATTCTGTTTTACAGGAAAGAGCTTTTAGGTCAAAATCTTTTGTAATTTTTATTCTGAATTATAAACTACTCATACAAACATTCCTTTGTAGTAAAATGTCATCAAAAATATTCACTTTTCTCAAAAGAAAACTAAGTCTTTAATTATTATATAGATCCTTAGGACAGAACTGAAGGGTTTTAGGTTCTTTGGTCGGGTGGTTGTGCAGCAATTTTGTACACCAACAGCATAAACATTAATACTATCTTCTTCAATAATAAAATAAATACCAAAAAATTATAGCTTCTAATTGAACCAAAAATATAACTGTTCCTCTTAATTCTATTTATACATTCACAGTATATAAAATATTTTCAAGAGAGTCTTGCCAATTAGAAAATTACAATACGATATCAACATACAAGATAAATTATAGGCTATGTTAATCAAGCCACAAAAAAATGTCAATAAATCAAAATGTCATATCATTTTATTAAGGATTAACACTATTTTAAATATGGTTTGAAGGCACTACTTAATGTCCCTTATCAATAAATAGTCATTTCAAGTTCAATTTAATTGTGTAAAAATAATCTCTTCTACCCTGGTTTGAGTTCTGGCATCAGATACGATACACTGACCCATACCGGGAGTGATTCCTGAGCAATTTTTTTGCTTCTTTTGGGTCACACCCGGCATTGCACAGGGGTCACTCCTGGCTCATTGCACTCAGGAATTATCCCTGGCGGTACTCAGGGGACCATATGGGATGCCAGGAATCGAACCTGGGTTGGCTGCGTAAAAGGCAAACGCACTACCCACTGTGCTGTCACTCCAGTCCCTGCCCTGAGTACTATTGAGTGTGGGACCCAAAGCAAATCAATCAAGCAGGCAAAAAAATAAAGGAACAAGAAAAATAATCTATGTTCAAGTCGTCAGACTATCATTTTGCAATGTAGTTATATTTGCATCCCAAATATAAAATTTCAGTGTATAATTCTTTTTGCTCCTCTGAAAAAAATGCTAGCTAAAGTATTAAATATAAAAGATATCAAAACAAAGTATATAGAAAATAAATTTAATTAGCATTGAACTAATACTAGTATAGAGTACTGTACTTCACTTTTCTTGTTTAAAATACTGTGACTAAAAGTGTTTTTCACTTAACATTCTGACAGCCTTCTTGGTGTTGCTGGAGCTGGCGTTCATTGACTACCTGACTTTGAAGTACACACTGATGTTATTTCCAGGAACACGTGTGATCACTGTGGCAGATGGTATAGAAGATGAGATGTTGTTGGAATTGCTAGACAGTCACTTTTGCAAGCTGAAGAAATTATTAGCTTCTGATTTTAAACATGCTCTTATGCAAACATTTTTACCAACACACACATTAATAGAATGAACATTGTGTATATCAACTCTCTTCTTACACTGAGTGTTGGTAAAACAACTGCATTGAAATTTTTCAGAAAAGTTCCACATGTCTACAAGTGTGGGTTTTCCAACAACTCTGTATTTTCCAAATTTCCCTATTCTAATAGAAAAATTACTTGGGTTCAGGTGAAGATAGTCACTTGAATTCGAGTTTTTCCTTACACATACTCCTTTATCATTACAAAGCACTTGGCTACACAATTTGGCTGCTAGGGTGACGTTGATTATATACGGATTCATTACAATCTTCGTGTAATTTTTTATGTTTGCGCAGGACTCCTATAAAATTATAAAAAGGTCAGAATATTAAGGGAAAATTTAGTTCATGTGTTAATTAACTTACTGTGATAAATAATTCTAAAGAAGTGCTTTTACACACACACACATACACACACACTCACACACATACACACAAACCCAGACCAAATCCAAACACAGAGCTTAGGAAAGGAAGGGAAATGTTTTGTTTTTCACAAGTTAACAAGTTTCCTTCAAATGCTTTCTTCTAACATTTGTTAGTTTTATGTACCATATCATTATGTAATTGACTGATTAATGTTTAACATGTCCTATCTAACTTTAAAACAAACAAACAAACACACACTGTCCTCCCAGAGCAGGCTCAGTAATGTCTCCATTGTGAGATTTGTTGTTACTGTGTTTGGCATATTGAATATGTCATGAGTAGCTTGCCAGGCTTTGCCGTGCAGGTGAGATACTCTCGGTAGCTTTCTGGGCTCTCCGAGAGGGGTGGAAGAATCAAACTCGGCTCAGCCGGTCTGGCTGTGCGCAAGACATACACCCTACTGCTGTGCTATCTCTCCAGCCCACCTAATTTTAGTCTTCTTCAATAATTTATAAAATAATTGGGGTATGAGGAAATACATTAAGTTCACATTGAAGTCTATTTTATAATGTCTATCTGTATGAATTGAGAAATTCTTCAATACTTTTAAGCAATAGTTCTCTATGTAAGTGATTTTGGGACTGTTAATTCACTTAGTTTTGCTTCAGCTTCATAATCTTTAGAGGATCATTATAGCACCTGCCTTTTCGAGTTGTTTTGAAGACAAAAAGGTACAATATACAGAAAAGGGTTCAACACAAAGCCTAGCATATTAGCCCTCAAGAAATTATAAGTAAATATAATCAGTATTGCATTTGTCAGGCAAAATTAAGCAGCATTAGTAAGAGGGATTTTGAAACTGCTAGCATAAAAGAATGAAACATGTTCTACTCAGCTGTGTGTTAATTGTCATATACTCCCAGTTATGAGTCATGCAGGTCTTCTACAGGTATAGTTATTTGTCAGAGTTTAAGTGTTGTTATAACTCAAATGATTCATTCTAAATATGGGACATTCTAAAATATGGGCACGGCACTTTTAAAACCACGGAAGATAGTCACTTTCTTTCATGAGCAAAGTTCTATTGAGTGAGTGGCTATGTTATTACTTTCCCAGAGTACTTGACGGTGGTGGGTAGATAGTCATTGGGTACACTGTGGCTGCTTCCACTTAATCTATTTCTTATTTCTTTGGGTAAAGCCATAAATAATAGACAGAATAACAGTTTTCAAAGATTGCCTTGTTACATTTTCTAGAACCTATAAATAAATTTTACATGGGAAAAAGAACTTTATAAAAATGATTTCTGTATAGCATTGAAATGAGATTAATGCTGACAGATTTGAATTAACTCACTATAACTCTATACTTTTATTTAACTCAGAATTATTAACTTTGAGGATACAGATAGAATTCAAGAGTTAAATAATGTAGTAACCTCTCAAAAACAACAGCCAGCAGGGAGAGGAGAAAAAACTCTCATAGCTACAACCAGAAAGAAATCAATGTTCTGCAAACTACCTAAAGGAACAAGTCAGGATCCTTTCTTACCTAGAAAGATTGTAAACCTGTTGACTCAGTTCTATGATACCTGTTATAGATTGACATGCAGAATTGTAGGATGATAAATTTCTGTTGCATAAACCCATTTGTTGTAATTTTTGTAGCAGCAGTAGAAAAATCTCTTGTTAACCCTCCAAAAGCTTTGCATGCTGTTTAGAATAATAATCAACTTCTCTTTACTATTTGTACAGTATAGATTTTGTTCATCCTTCCTTCTTCTCGAACAACTACATCTCACCCTCTGGACATAGCAGCTATGTTATAAGCATGATCAGTTCATTTCAAACTGCTTTTACCGCTCCCTCTAATTGGAATGCTTTTGTTTTTAATTTTAATATGCTTGACATCATGCTGTCATTTGGATTCAGACTTAACTAGATAAACCCTTCTCAGACATCTTTCTATATATTCTCTCACATAGTTCTACTTTAATTCTCTGCCTAACACTTATTACATCAAATATTTTTATTTGTCTATTGTTTGTAGCACATAAACATTAATTATAAATTCCACGAGTTCGGGGTCTGAATTATTTTTCAACGTGGAATATTCCATGAAAAGTAGTCATAGGAATTTAAATAAAACAAAGTTGACACTGTAGCTTTCCACAGAGACAAGGGTTAGATAAATTAAGGGATAAAGTATGACAATGGTTTGAAATATTAGGCTACACAGATGCTCGGCATATTTAAAGTTGGACCCTAAAAATGTAATATCTAATTTATGTTAAATATAAGACTGATGCTTTTAATATAATGTTATAAATATTTTAATAATGGTCAACTTAGGTATGAAATTGACATTAGTGAGTATTGGGAACCAAATATACCATCATTAATCAGAGGGTGGCATGAAATATAGTACTTATTTCTGCTTTTGACAGCTACAATACTTGGAAAATAATAAAATGAAGTAAATTGTTTCTTTTTGAATTTTGAATATTACATTTTAATAAATTAACTTGCTAGAGTTTTATAATTTAACATTAAATTATGACTACATTAGTTATAAAGATGAAATCTTGCAGTTTCGCTATAACTTGGTTGTCAAAAGAAAGAAGAAAACTGAGTGATATCTCTCATATGTAAAATATAAAGAAAAAAGGCAAGGAACTATACACTGGCAAGTGAAAAAAAACCCTAAGACTCTATTCACAGTACTAAATTCCCAATTCAAGTGATGGGGCAGATAGATAACAAGAGGAAATAGAAGGAGGTGTAGCTCAAGGATATTTGCATTTCAGGGAAAATTGTGGTGAAGTAATATTATATTATATGTTTATTGCTTAGGTACAATAAACATTAATACCATTATAGATAAAGGTACCTCAATAAAAATATTGTTAGAGTTTAACAATCAGTTCACAAAATATTTGAATCTTAATAATCAAGAAAGTGAACCTAAACCAATACAAGCTGCTTCTACCATACCACTGAACCAAATAAAATGGAATGGAATTAAATGAATTGCTTATATTTCATAACAATTTTCTAAAGTACCAGTCATTGAAAACAAATCTATAATTAATGGTTTCTCAAGTTGCCAGTGAATCAGAGGAAATATGACAACTAACAAGGCATCATTCATCACAAGTAGCTTAGAAAAGTGGTTTTCCTTTTTTATGTAAATAGCATTCAAATTAATCATAAATTAGGAAAGTACCAGAAAAACATATAAAAGTGTACAAAGGTGAGAAGAAGGCAGTGTCACTGAAAACAGTCATGCTTAAAGTTGAAGAACTGCCACTGCATGAATAACTCTATAAGTAATTTTAGATCTGGGTTGAGGAATGTGAAATGAAGATTTAAATCCATTAAAAACAAAGTACGACAATTAAAAACTATGTTGTCATTCTACTAATGGGGTAAGTCTGAATCATTCCTCCTAGGAAAGGGTGGAGCTCTCACTTAAAAAAAATAAAAAATACTGGAGCTGGAGAAATAGGACAGGGTTAAGGCCCTTGCCTTACATGTGGCTGACCCCTGTTCAATTCCTGATACTATATATAGTACCCTGAGCACAATCAGGAAAGATCCCTGAGCATACAGCCAGAAGTAAGTCTTGAACACAGTCAGGTATGGCCTGAAAACCAATGAAAAGAAGCACTTTGGAGAATATATCTTAGCTCTAACAACAACAACAACAACAACAACAAAAATCAGTGGGAACATTGAGAATGGAGATCATAGATGTGAAGGAAATAATTCATAAAAATCATTATCCCTGACATAATATTGAATTTTAAATAATATATTACATTTCAAAATTTTTCCTATGACATTAATTAAGAATGAGTTGGAACTCTTTCACTGAACTGTTAGTTTCTTCTATTTGTTGATCAAACAAGAGACAACTGATGTAGAAAAGAGGCAAAAGTGGTGAGATTATTTTTTAAAGTATTTACAAACATTTTACTAATAAATATTTGTATAAATGAAATAAAAACAAGACTATTATACCTGATAGACAAGAGGATAAAACGTATCTTTTGGTCTTAAAGGGAAAAGTCTCTTCTCTACAGTTCTTAGAATAAGACCCCTGGCCACAAACATCATTAGACATTCTCTAGTCATGAAACATCTCTATCTCTTTAACGTTCATCAGAGAAGAAAAAGTTGAGTTCCAACTCAGCAGTGTTCGGGTTACAGTTTTACTCTTGCTTTGAGCCAAAATGTCTGAAAAAGTGGGGGATAGGTAGCTATATAAATAATTAAACAAGAATGGAAATAGAGAAATATTAGGTCTTGATAGTGAAAGATTTTTGAGGTAAAAAAATAAATTCAGAGAAAATGATTAAAAGCGACACTATACAAAACAAAGCATAAGCATTTTTTTATGATAAAGCAAGCTCCACTTAAACTTTTACATAAAATAGATGTTATTATACTATTTGTGGAGAGCTAAGAGCTTAGTTTCCCTTTGTGGGGGGGAATTTTGAATGATTTGGTAGTTTCCAAGCATATGCTTTTTTCCCACCCCTTTAGTCTCCCTCTTCATTATCAACAAAACTCTCTTCCTGAAGTCTTTCTCAACTCAGAGGCAAAACCTTCAAGCCAGATGCAATGAAGTCATGTTATTCCTCTTAGCCACCCTACTTACCGATACCTAAAACAATCTCATTCAAAATCTAAGCACCTGTCTTCCCTCCCTTTTCTCAATCTTGCCTGTCAAAATCTTTTCTCAAAAGATCCACTTAACTCCATGATTTAATTAAAAATAAAAACATGTTTAAACTCATTCTAAAATAAAATTTTCATTCTTCTGTTCTCACACTCTACACCTTCTACAGCAGAATAACAATACCTATGGCTTATGAAGCCCCCCTGTCCTACCCCATTATACCATGGTCCACATCTTTTACCACTGCCTTCCTTGCACATTCTAATACTTCTACTTATTTCTTAAAGAACGCATTCCAGTCTCAAGGCCACTTTTTCTCTTCTTGACTTAGATTCATATTTCCATTTTCTCTGCTCCAATTTGAACTCATCAGAGAGGTATGTTTCACTATTTCATCTAAAATACCATCACATTCCTTTCCGTTCTATTTTCATTGTTTCATTGCTATTAAAGGCATATATCACTACTTTAGGGCTGGAGCAATAGCACAGCAGGTAAGGTGTTTGCCTTGCAAGCGGCCAACATTGCCGACCCGAGTTGGATTCCTCTGCCCCTCTCGGAGAGCCCAGCAAGCTACCAAGAGTATCTCGCCCGCATGGCAGAGCCTGGCAAGCTACCCGTGACTTATTTAATATGCCAAACACAGTAACAATTGTCACAATGGAGATGTTACTGGGCCCGCTTGAGCAAATCGATGAACAACGGGAGAACAGTGACAGTGACAGTGATCACTGCTTTATGGTATGCTATGTGCTTGTTCTGGTTTCAGCTATGAAAATGAAGCTATCTGATGAGGGTATTTTGCTTTGCTCATTGTTACATTTCCACACCTTAAACAACTCCCTCACCCTTAATCATCACTATAGTCCAATAAACCAAGAATTCAAATAAATTTTTTCAGCTAAGGTCCAAACAGAAAATATTTTAGCTTTTAAAATGAATTAGTTTTTGTCTTAACTACTTAGTTATGCTTTAGAAAGCAAACACATTTATAGACACTTAAACAAATGAGCATAACTGTTTCCAAATGCTTTTATTGATAGAAATGGAAATGTTAATTTTATATATTATGGAATACTATCTTATGTTTATTATAAAAATTATTAAAATGAGAAATTATGAGAAAAATACTCAAGATATTCGTAGAAAAATGCCAGCATGGTTAGATAAGGAAACAAAAAATACCTTCTGATGTTTGCAAGAAACATAGTTGAACTCTCAAAATTAATACAGGCTCAGAGTGAAAGGTTGAAAAGAAAATGGTAAACTGAAAAGATCAGGAATTTAAATACTAGTATCAGATCAAATAGTGTCTAAACTAAAGAAGGCAGTAAGAAATATGGATGGAGATTAAATCCTGACTGAGTGATCAATAGAGCTAGAGGACTTAGCTTTTATTAATATTTATGCATCAAACAAAGAAGCAGTAAGGTTCATAAAAACAATTTTCAACAGACTTGAGGAGATGCATTTATGACAAAACAAAAGCAGTGGAAGACTAACATTCCACCCTTGTCATCTGTTTAAAATCTGGACAGAACAATCATAAAAAAAATTAGAGAATAAAATTTCCCCCAAAGGAATTATAAAAATTGGAATTCATAAACTTAAGTCTAATCTGCACACCCAAAATCTAATATGCATTCTTCAATAATGTTGTAGGACATTCTCAAGGATAAACCATACACTGGTACACAATATTAGTCTCCAAATAGTCCCTGAAAACAGGAATCATATTAAGTATCTTTTTAGACCCTAGTGCTGTGAAGATAGAAATTAACTATAAATAGAAAATTTGGAAATACTCAAATATTCTGAAAGTGAACAACAAATTATTGAACAACCATTGAAAGAGAAAAAAAACAAAGAATAAATAAATAAATGCCTTGAAACAAGCAAGAATGAAGACGCAAACAATCAGAATGTAGGGACACAACAAAAGCAGGGCTAAATAGGAATTTCTTAGCAATAGTAATTTACTAAAGGAAACAAGAACAAGCTTACATAACCTGAACTTACATTTTGAAAAGCTAGAGAAAAAATTATAGATGAAACCCAAACTAAGTAGATGAAAAGAAATAATAAAAATAGTATTAAAATTAATACTATTAATTTAGTATAATTAATACTAATATTAATATTAATTATACTAAATTAAATATTAATTATTTTAATATTATAAAATTATGATTTTTATAATAATTATAATATAATTATAATATAATTATTACAATTATTTTATAATAATTATAATTATAATACTTATGATTATTATAATTATAACTATAATTATAATAATAATTATAATACTAGATTCACTCCAAGGATTCAAGGATTGTTGAATATGCAAAGTCAACTAATGAATTAATGTAACATGCCATGAGAAAAATGGAAAAATCAAAATCATATTATACACCAATAAATTAAAGATTGACAACTTACCACAGTGTCACTTAGATTGAGGCTCCCCCACACTATAATTCCAGAGACACCTAGAGCCATACCTTCACCAACTGTATGCACAAGGTCAGTCTGGCAAAAATGATAGAGTTAGCATGCAGAAATATAATGGACAGCAACACCAAAGCTAAGTTTACTGAGCCAACAACAATAACTTAAATATCTCCCACTTTTTCTATCTTTTGCATAAACTACGACCTTCTATAGAAAAAATACACATTTCCTATTGGTTTTTAAAATTACATCTACTAAAAAGAGCAGACCCATAGAAGAAAACTAGCTAAAGGAACTGAGTTAATACATTGTCTCTACTAACTTATTACCCATGAATAAAGGGATTATATGATTACATTTACAATGAAAATGTTTTCCCTTTACCTAGAACGCAAAACTACCTGTGTATGTCCCTGCTTTTCGTGGCTGTTTCACTCTTTTAAGAAGTGACGTCAAATTCCACCAACTGATTGTATACACTATTTCTTACCCCGCTCCCACCTTGATTTACTTACCTCAGAAAGGTATTCCTTAGTATCAGTAAAGACTGGACGCACGTATACAAAAATCGGAAGAGGATTTCCATCACCGTGCACTTTAGAAACACGGATGGATTCCAGAATACGATTACGGGCAAAGAGAGCAGCAAGTGGAGTTGCCTTCAGGGGGGATTTTAGATAAATGGATGGGAAAAGAGCCGTGCTGTCCTTCCACAACCAATTGAGCCTATTGTTTCTCTGTATTTCTCTCTCAAAGCAACTTCCGTTGTAACCCGGTTTTGTATATCCATGATTATAACAATCAGGAAAAAGATAATAACCCCATAGGTAATTTGGCCGAAGTGTTTTTCCCAACTTTATGGTATCTTCCATAAATTTTCTTCCTGCTTTCTCAAACTCTTCTTTGGCTATTTTAGCAGCCTCTGAATCATTTAGTTTTATATTTTTTTGCTGAACCAGCTCAATAGATCGAATCTTGTAAACTTCTTTTTTCAACCAGTTTCTTGACCAGGTAGGTCTCCACTCTTCCCAGTCAATAACAGCCAAGCCCATTTTGTTACTTGGAAGGTAGTGGGAAATCTGTTTACTGGCATAGTCCAAGTGCTTTTGTAGGTGTCCCAGCTGGGGAATTCCTCCATTCACAGATTTGCCTGTTTGTACATGTACATAAGGATAATAGCCAAGTCTATCCTCATAAAATATTATTATACCTTTTCCTGCATAATCTGGTTTGGGGCTTCCTACTAAAGAGAAAAGACTTAGATCTACTTTCACTGTATGCTTTTGAGCACATACTTCAGTTGGGGCATTCCAGCCCCAGACAAAAGTATTATTTGCAAAAACTGGGCGTGCTCTGAAACTCATAGTCAAGCAAACGGGAAACAGAAGGAAAATGAACACAGCCTGGATGGTTCCATTTAATCCAACAAAGTTCCTCAAGAAGGTAGATCTGACCACTAGTACTTCCATGGCTTGGAATAATAACAATGAAAATCACTTATTTTTTCCTATACACTTTGATCGATCTATTTTTGATGTCTGATGAAAGCATGTAAGTGAAATAATGATCATGTTAAGTAAAGATATTCTTCTTGCTTCGTTCTTTGCAAGTTGCTTTTCCTTAACCGAAAAAGAAGAAAAACAGAGTGTATTGTAAATAACTTATGTACCAGAGATTGCACTCTTAACCAAGTTGCCAACATTGAGTGCCTTCAGTTTAATTCAAATTTGAAAGATAAAGGGTCTCCCCCAGTGATTTAATTAAAAAAAATTTTACGTATGATGCAAACTATTATAGCTAATATTTGATTCATCATTCCAATTTATTTCCAAGTTGGTAGAGGTGAATTCAGAATTTTTACCTTTTCTAGTAGTGCAACAATCCACACCTATTGGTGACTAGCAGAAGTCAGTTGAATGAGAATAAGTTTGAACTTGAATCCTAATTTTTACCAGATGCTTTTTAAAAGACTAAGATGAATTTCCAGATACTTAGATAAATCTAATTGATTTTTTTTCTTTTTGGCGATGCTCAGGGGTTACTCCTGGCTCATGCATTCAGGAATCACTCCTGGCGGTGCTGGGGGGGCGGGGAACATATGGGATACTGGGAATCGAACCTGTGTTGGCCATGTTGGCTGCATGCAAGGCAAACGCCCTACCCGCTGTGATATCGCTCCAGCCCCAAAATCTGATAGAATTTTAAGCTTGTATGTTTTGTTTTGTTTTGTTTTTTCTTTGAAAGGGTATAGGTACAGAATCAAGCAAGTCTCTTCTGCCAAATGCAATAAATAAAAATCTTTTCAAGATGATTTAATCAACCACCATATCCTGCTGAGGGACAAATATATGGACTTTCATAGAACACTTGTACAATTATACCTTAATTATACTCTAGTGTTTAAAGTTAATAAACATTGTGCTACTTTATATCTTTCACTAGAAGGATTGATCCTGGTCTAACATATATGGATATTGAAATTATCCTGGGTTGAAAGTAGGCCCTCAATCCAATTTTTGGTATCCTCTTTTATTAAAGAGGAAAAGACACAAAATCACATAGACATGTGGAAAATGGCCATGTGATAATGGAGACAAAGATTTGAAATGCTGCTTCTACAAGCAGAAGAAAACCAAAATTTGCCAGTACCATTAGTAGCAAGAAAAAATCTCTTGATTTTTTCTTCCCCTGGAGTTTTGAGATTTTTTCCATGGAGTTTTAAGGTGCTCCCACTGGTACCTTAATTTACAACTTCAAGTGATAGAGCACATGCCTTGCATGTACAAGGCCCTGGGTTGGACCCTTGGTACTAATTGTGCCCTTACTCCAAGAGCACTGCTTTGAGCGTGATCCTCATAACAACGGTTAAAAAAAGAAAGACAAAACAGAAGAAAGACTTTTTAAAACTATTAAAATGGAAGGAGCAGCTAAAGGGCTAAACAGTATCAATGAAATTTTAAAAGTTGTCAGTGGGACAAAATTTATGAGTGTATTTCATAGAATCTGTGTTTTACTGGATTTGCTCTGAAAAAGACGGCTTCATTATGTAAAATCTGGTGCCATATTTAATATATATATACATATTTTGCTTCATTTTAGTTATATATATATACACACATGTACATCTTATATATACATGTGTATTTCCATAAGGTCTTCTGGGCACAGGTTTGGGGTAAGACTGAGATATTAGCATCTTTAACAGAATCTACTATTTAGAGCATTTGACATAAAACTCTATACCAGAATCTAATTTTTCTAGAAAATCTTTTTTGACTTTATCCTAGGTGATAAATATGAAGGTTTATTTCTCAGCTAGTGTGCATGAGGTCTATAATCAATCAATTTAAATCTATTAAGGCTGCATCTCTCAAGTGATGTTCCTTGCCATTGTGTTGATAATTCCTTATCAAGACTCCTACCAAATCTTATTTCCCCAAACCACAGGAGTGGAACTCTTACTAGAAGTCTTTTTATATTGACCCTATCCAACTTGTCTTCAATGGTTTTAAGCCTAAGAATTTTTTCATTGCTACAATTTTCCTAGAGTATTTTAAGTTATTTATGTATATTTTAAGAAATTTTTTATAAAATTAATAAGGCCCTCCCGTTGATCGTCGATTTGCTCGAGCGGGCCCAGTAACGTCTCCATTGGAGACTTTGTTGTTACTGTGTCTGGCATGTCGAATACTCTCGGTAGCTTGCCGGGCTCTCCGAGAGGGGCGGAGGAATCGAACTCGGGTCGGCCATGTTGGCCGCGTGTAAGGCGAACGCCCTACCCGCTGTGCTATCGCTCCAGCCCTGGAGCGATAGCACAGCGGGTAGGGCGTTCGCCTTACACACGGCCAACATGGTCGACCCGAGTTTATAAAATTATGTTCTTATAAATTTAGACCCCAAGTCTCAATATTTGAAGATATCTAAATTATTTCATTAAACTTTAATTATTACAAAAGAATTTTATCATTAGAATACATTATCCTTAACATGAAGTTACTGAAGACAGAAAGGTTTGAGATATACATGATTAAATAAATGAGGAAAATCCAGAAATATGAAAGTTTTTATAATTTATTTCTGTTCACTATGAATCTAATTTCTCATTTTATTTTATTCAAGTACCATACTGCTCCTTAAATAAAAAGAGTGAAGTAAAATTTAATGCTATAATTTTGTTTTCCAGACAAAACATCAGGCTTTACTTTTTCAAGGGAGAAAAGAACAATGACCACGTAACCTCCTTACTTTTTATTCACTAGGAATGCTTGTCCAAAGGCTTTTGTTTTATTCTTTGGAAGATGAGTTAGTGATAGAACATTTCGATTTTGGTCAAAAAGAGTCAAGTTCAGAAAAAGTCAAATAGAAGATCTGCATTCCTGGACATAACATTTTGCTCTTCCTCTTCTTCCCCATCAATAATTTATTTCCAGAATAAATGTCTTTCCAGAATACCAAATTATCAATAAAAAAATCACTCATAGCCATCAGAAAAAAGACTTACGTACAAAATATATAAAGGCGATAGAAGTCTAAAAGAACCCAAACAACCCAATCAAAAATTGGGGCAAAGAGATAAACAGAAACTTGCTCAAAGAAAACATACACATGGAAATAAAAAAATGCTCTATATCACTTATCATTAGGGAAACGCAAATAAAAACTCTCAGAAATCATTTCACACCAGTGATACTGGCACACAATCAAAAAGAACAAAAACAACCAGTATTAAAGTGGATGTGAGGAAATAGGGACCCTCATTCACTGCTGGTGGGAAATGTAACTATCAAATCCTTTTGGAAAACAATGACTTATCTCAAAAAGCTAGGAATTGATCTTTCACATGATCCAGAAATTTTACTTCTGGGCATCTGCCCAAGGATCCCAAATCTGGAAATAGCCAAAATCTGGAAGCAAGGGGAATGTATAAACATACTGTGGTAGGTACATGCAATTGAATATTATTCAGTTCTAAGGAAAAATGAGGAGTGGGAGAGACAGTATAGTAGGTAAGGAGCTTGCCTAACATGAGGGCAATCTGGTTTTAATCTCTGGCACTCAATAGAAGTCACCTGAGCCTTTGAGAAGTGATGCCTGAGCACAGAGTCAGGAGTAAGTCTTGAGCACAGCTGAGTGTGCTCCACCGCCCCCCCCCCCATACAGTTTAAGAAAATTTGCTGCAATATGGATGAAACTGGAGAGTATCATGCTGAATAAAATCATTAGAAAGAGACAGGCATAGAATGATCTCTCTTATATGTGGTATGAGAAGAAACAGAATAGGGAAATAAACAAATACAAAGGGAAATAAATACAAAGGCAACAGAAACTGGAAACTTGTCTTCAGTAGGAAGCTTATCATAGAGGGTAGGTGAGAGACCCATGTCAGTGGACACATGACTAAAGGGTGTGATTCTAGAATAATCTACTTATAAATTCATGTACAAAACAAATTTGTAAACCACATAGCCAAAATAAGGTTTTTCTTTATAAATCAATCACAAAAATTACTCAAGAATGTATTTGCTATTTTCATTTCTGATGAGGAGTCGACATAGTCTGCTCTCTGAATAAAATAAAGAAGCTACTTCAGATGCAATCTTCTTGTGATTAAAATTATTACAAATCTTGAGCCCAAATTGCATTACTATTTTTATATGTATGTATGCACATATGCTTATATACATATAAATACACATATAGATATATACATATATTAATAAAATGTATGAGATAAAAAATTTTGTGTGGATAGATAATTGACAAAGCTAAGGACATAACTTTAGTTTCAGCTGAAAAGGGCATTTTTAATGTGATCAGACCATAAATTTACTAATACAAAGGAATGGGTGTAAGAGAGAGCCCCGAGATTCAAGAAGTGGTGCTCATAGCATCTCTTTAAGATTCCCCTTATTTATAGACCCCAGAACACTAAAAAGACCCTAAAGGTACTGAAAGTAACTTTAATTATTGAAATTACCTCTATAAAACCTTTGAAAATGATTGCTTAACATTAAAAAATAATCCAAAATTCCTAAAGATCAGTGGTCCTCAAAATTCACCACCCTCACATTCCTAGAGAACTAGCCACTTTCTAGGGATGTGGATCATTTCTGTAATAATTCCTTAGTAATTTCAACACAAAGTCTAATCTCTTCATTATAAATTAATACAGTGAATCCAATTTGAGTTCTGAGCAAAATTTTTTAAAAAGTATCTGTCAAACATGCCAAGGCAGGCAGAGATACTTCTGGACCTCACTCCAGGCTGAGCCATCAGGACACCCTAGAGTGGCCAGAGTGGCCAAAGAATCCCAGCACCTGAAAACCTCTACACTTCACAATCACCATCAAGCTCACGATCAGATTCCACTGCTCAGGCTGAGCCTCACTGAGAAATAAATCTGTTTTAGAACTCAGATATGAGGGTTTTGTGATTGAAATCTCCAGGCTTTCACCAAATCAGGTGTGTA